CTTATCCAAATGGTGATTTCCTATTAAATTCGTTCTTCAATTAAGTTATAAAGTCTATAGGAATCATTAGAAACTCAAGACATATGTATTTATATCAATTCATCGCTATTCATCTTCTTCTTTACCCAAAAATGGCATTCTCAAGACCCACCCTTAGGGTTCATATAATATCCCAGTATAACATCAAATAAAACTCATAAACATGTTTCCCATATTCCAATATGACATATATATGAAGCTCAAGTGAAGGGATTACCTCTTGGTGGAAGAATCTAGCTTTTTCTCTTTTTGGTGTTGTTGAAGATTCAACCCATTTCGTATGGATTTGATCTATTGTAATGTTAGTGTTATCACTAAATGATGTTATATAATAATCCTTGTACCAAAATAACTTTCCTTGAAGTGTATCCATAGTGGAAGAGCTCCTCCTTCTCTCTAGAAATCAATTCCAAGTTGAAGAACTAATGTTTTCTCTCTTTAAACCCCTTGTTTCAACCCCTTTAAAATGACCCTTGGAGCTGCGTAGGCTACGCACAAAGGTTACGCAGGGTGGACTTCCATTCCCCTTCATTTTGGAAGTTGCTGGATTTGCCTACGCAATGGTGCGTAGGCTACGCTGCTATGTTGCGTAGGCTATACGGACTCACGTAGTTCCGCCATCCTTTAGTAAAAAGGTCATAACTTCTTGTAGGAATCTCGAAATGAAAAATGGTATGAACAATTAGAAACTAGACATATAGACCTTTCATTTAATAGGTTATAAACCATATAACTCTTCATATCTTGATAGGTATGCTTGTTTGAAGTTAGGTCTTGTGCGAACTCACTTGAAACTTTATCCCATCGTATAATTTTCAACTTGACTTAGCCTTAGGTCTCTTATTAGACCATAAACCATTCTTAATGCACCTCATACATATATTATCATGATCAATTGATATCATTCAAGTTATTAGTCTTGTTCATACCCGAATTAATATAATTAGCACATGTCAATTTTTTTAATGGTCTTAAAACACTTCGAAATTTTTTGGGGTGTTACATTCTCCCCCACTTAAGAACATTCATCCTCGAATGTTTTACAAATCATTATTAGGCACAGTATTATCCTACTTTCACCTTAACCAGCATATTTAATCGTTCCTGACTTCATATGGATCTTAGATATTCTTCCAAAATTTCAACTTCCTTAAGGCCCCAAAATTTGGCTAACTCTGTAAATTCTTAAAATTTTCGACAGAGTATCCCCTGTAACTGAGACTATCCAAAAAAAAATTTAACCTGTCCAGAACAAGCCCCACACGGGCACCAATTTCAACGTAATTCAACAACCAAATATCTTTACATAATATGATATCTAGGACCCACATGGCCGCACGTATATGCTCAATGTACAACAACAAACTAAGCCCCACGTGGCCGCGCATATACCAAAATTGCATCAAATAATTCTTTACAATTTTAAACCATTGCATATCTATACCTCTCTCATTCCAACACAGGTTACCCTACATTGCAACACATATTACTACCACGCATATCTGTATTCTCTCTTATTAAGTGTACACCAAGTCACACGTGAAAGAGCATTTCTCGTCTATATTAAAATTTCATTTCTTCCATTCGAATACTTCCTCATAAATACAAAATTACTTCTAAGCATAGTTTGTCCTCATAGGACCCTTGATTCTCGAGTTTTCCATAATACTCTTTTATTCAATCCGAATACCAACAAGATATTTTGTCTTACCTAGATCCATTCACGTGGGTGATCTATGCCTCCACTTACAGTTGTAACTTTTGAGTTTTCTTTAGATCTCTAATTGATTGATACGGTTGCTAACAAGTCCGCTATATGATAAATATTCAATCCACTTCCTTCCCTTTCATGGCACAAGTATCCATTCATTCTCGAACATCACTGTACATATTTCTATTTTATTAACCTTAACCAACTCATGAATACCATCATGTCCTTTGTGATATTTCTCTTCCATAAATTCATATTCTATTTGTTGTTATGCCTGCTATAGGATTATTACCATGGAGTATAGGCTTCCAACTCCCAAGTGATAATGCTATTAGAATAATACTTTCACCATTTAGTCTCTTTTTCTTTTCTGACCCCGTGCTTCTTACTGGAGCACATTATTTTGGTTTACAAAAGTATTTTGTATTTGGGAATACACATAATATAACCTTTTCTTGCCTCATTTCATGCCAAGAGTTCATATACTTTATCCTCATTTATAACCTTTATTTGTTCTACTAAGTCCAACATATGACCAAAGTACTTCCTCATTTTCGCCCTTGCTTGAATTTAATTCAAGTGACACATGCTCCAAAGTTATAAGAATCTATTCAAGTAGCCCCCATTAAATGTTTGACTATTCGATAGTACCTTTTAATGACCCCAATATTGAACATTGTAACTATTGCTCATGATAATTATGTGATCCCTATACCAGCATTGTATGACAATCTTACTCATTTCATCAGGAATCTTATCGAAGATGTTTCCTTAACCTTTCTTTTATGAATAAAATTTCTCCATTCTATTTTTCCAACCATCACCCTTAAGATGACTTCTACTTACTCTGATGCTCCCCCACTTAGGCGTAAAACCCAAATCTAAAGCTCGAACTTGATACTCGAAGATTTTAATAAATTCGTATCTCGTTCATCCGATTATACACACGCCCATATACTACTACAAGTTATTTATTCCCCAACTCGAAATCATAATTCACCATTTCAAATTTTCCATAACCCCTTCTCGTAACCAAGTATAATGGTACTTCTAGTTGCAACTCATGTTGCCAAGTATCATCTCTTCCTATCCTCACAACAACAATAAAGTTAGCATATCCCTTTTCGTGCCCATTTTATTTTAAGAAATCTTTTTTTTATCTTCTTGCCTTTCAGTCCATGCTCAAATACATTTCTGGTAAATATAACTGCCTCGGGCTATACCCGTATAACTTTCATATACTTTCCATAACATACAATATTTTTACAATGCTAGATGTAAGAAACGTACAATCTATCTTCATGTCCTCATCATAACATAAATTTTGTGACTATAGTTAATAGCAAACCTTCACGTCATCATGCCTCGTGCAATTAATATTACCTCCTTGTTTTTCCATTATTCAATGGATTCTATTCTTGGGTACTCAATCATTCGTATGATAATCACCTTCATATCTTGGGGTGTCTTTAGTCTTGTTGCAGTAGATAACATGCTAGGATTCATGTGGCATCACTACGTAGCATTGGATCACTTGTAACTCATCAACTTCACACGTGTATCATTGTGCTTGAAAGCTCTTGAGTTTTAAACTACATATGCAATATTCATAATCCGCCTGACGCTCCAATTTGGCCCAATGCATCATTTCAAATATTCATTCCTCTTAAATATTACTGTTCCATTAAAATAACAAGTTAATAGCTCCCCTTGACACATGTAGGTGTGCTTTGGAGCTTACCTTTGAAAATTCTTAATTCCCACCATTCAAAAGGACAAAATAAAATCTATCCCGATTAGACAACTCAAGGTTATTATTCCACATCACTTCACCTCCTTTAGAAACTTATTCACTTCTTGAAATCTTTTAAGGTTAAACCTTTTGGGCATATCATGCATTAATAATTTTTTATTTACCTATTTAAGTTCACATACCTCAGTGTGCATCATTGAAGATTGACTTTTATTTGTATCACATTTGACATCTGGGAGGTATTCAAAGTTCACTTACCCTTTAAATATTCTCAATTTGCTCCCACACATGGCACTTTATTTCTTACAAATTATATTATAACATGTGACACTACTATGACAAAGACCTTGACAAGCGGAGATTCTCCCAATCTCTTGTGAGACTAAGGGTCATCTCTTGCATTTTTCCTTGTTCACTTTTCTAAAAATCATGACGGTTTCCTTATATCCTCTTTTCTAAAAGATACTTTTGGTAATTCTTGACATTATCCCAAATTGGTCCTGATTCTTATGAGTCACAAGGTGCTCGGTGTGAACTTGGTTCATTCACATTCTCTTACCAGTTCTATTCTTGTCATTCCTCGATATCACATCACGGTAAATTAAGGTATTACCTTCCCATTTATCTTGTAACCATTGTGTTTCCCTTTTTATTTATTTATTCCTTTGTTGTACTAGTAAACCGTGATTGTCATAGCAAAGGATTGTCCCAATACCTTGATCTACAATTTAAAAATATTCCTATATAAGAATTACCTAATTTTCTTTTTCAACCTCCAGTACAATCTTTCGTGAGTTCTGACACCATTCTAACAATACCAACTGACATCGTCACCTTATTTTCTTTTCCATGAGTTTCTCAGAATTCGACTTATGATTCTTGTTTACCACGGTTGTACATCTTGACTGTATCAATTTTAAAGATGTTCTCAACCTTAACCCATCATATAATTCATTACTGGATAGTCCAATCCTTTCCAGCTATTTTTCAAGCAGCACGTGTGATATCTTGAACCTTGAGCTTTGTGCTCGTCACTTATGTACCTACGATGTCAGGTAGTCAACACGATATAGAATCGTGTCTCTCATTTCAGGCACAACGCACGAACTAGAGTAAGAAGAAAGTAAAACTCCCGAAATGTCCTTGTAGCCTCCCCGATATAAGTGTGGCCGGCAACACACCGATAAGAGGGACTCTACTTGACACTGCTTCATAGACTTCCTAGGACTCGACTTAGAACCTAGTGCTCTGATACCAAGTTTGTCACGACCCATATACACGTGACCGGCACCCGGCACACTATCCGATCCGAGCGAACCAACCCATATGATGCACCCAAACCATATGCATGAAAAATCAATTTAACTGCGGAAGCTCTTTGAAACTTTTATATATTTTCAAGTTAAACCATGGAACAATTTTCCAATTCAAAATCATACCTGAAGCCTCTCATAATCATAACAATGAGAGTAAGTAAAATAAATATCTTTTCATGTATGTCGCGTACAATCCCATTACTACAACTTTTCACAACTATCGATGGAGCCTCTATACCAAGTAATAGAAACACTTGGGCTAATGCCCGACTAATATTAATTAAGAAATAACATGATAGCTACCACGAAATATGAGTGGTGCCTTGCCATATACCTCAGGAAGAGAGTCATCCTAGCCATGTCCGTATGCCATGTACCGTACCTCATCTTGAAACATGTAAAGTAAGTGGGGCCCTGGAGGGGAGCCCTAAGGGCTGAGTACACCACAGCGGTACACAATAAGTTCATAGACTCTCTCTAAATCAAGATCCTGGGACAAGAATTTACAAAATCTATGCAACCAATATTGGACATAAAGTGATAAACAATAATATAAAGCACGCTCTTTATCATTTTAGATAAAAGACAAGTGAAATGTAAGCCATACTATAAAGTTTTAGAACATCTCTATCAATCCAAGATTTTAATAGAAATTATATAAAACCATTTCAATCTCATTAAACCATTGAAATCATTTTCGGCTACTTAAGCCTAAACATAAGAAAGTCCTCTTTTACCTTTCACTGGGAGTACTATAATGACACTGACATAATAAACAACTACTAGGTGATCAACCTAGTAACAAGTATTTGACCCTACTTCTCTGGGCGACTTCCCGTAGTGCCATACGAGTGGACTTAACCTCATTACTTTTAAGTAATGATCATTTTCCTTCTCAATTGAGACTTTATCCCACAAACCTCAGTTTAGCCTTGGAATGTGTCCCTACACCGGCACGTGTAGTTCCATGGTAACGAACTCGACATTCGAACCAATTTCAGTGGTCTCCACTAGTTACTCCCAAAATATTTGATATTTCAAAAATAGATTCATAGCATAATTGCCTCAAAGGATATATTTTTATCAAATCATGATTTTCATAGTCAATCCAAACCATTTGAATGAAATCAAATGAATAATCTTTTTCATGTTAAATCATTTAGCAATTAACATAAATCTTACGATACAACAAGTGCTTCTTTTGGTGAAATTTCAAAAGATAATCTTTTTCATGAAAGCATATATTTAGCAGTCAAGCATTTTATACTCTTATCAACAAATAAGTTTAAATAAAACTTATAAGAATTTCCTTATGTGTCATTTTGCCAACATTTGAAAACAAGACTTTTATAAAATCTTATGACACTTCATAAGCAACAATTTAGAAACACATGGTGTCTTTCCCGCTTGTTTCCACAAGTACGGATGCACATTTACAAACCAACTCACGTAATAACTCAAATATGATTTTAGAGAATTCCCTCAAGAAGAATAAATATTAATCAACTTACCTCAACCTTCAAGCTCCGAAAATACTACAATGCTCCAATTGATTAAAATGTCCAAATATCACCCCACAATTAAATATCAACCATTAGATATCCCAACTACATTAAAACAAATACGAAAAGATTCATAAATACCCATTTAGACTTCACAATTCGGCAACACGCCTTCAACCAATTCAAATTATCCAATAGGCCCATCCATTAGCCTATTCAATTTAATTCTTATCATTTAATACTCATTTGGAGTCATTAATAATACTATGTTAATTACCCAACATCATCAAGTCACACTATTTATTGCCTTCTCCAAAAAAACTCTAGGTTCAAGAACATCCATTTCAAGAACTAGTGTTGTATCTTATCCAAATGGTGATTCCCAATTAAATTCGTTCATCAATTAAGTTATCAAGTCTATTGGAATCATTAGAAACTCAAGACATATGTATTTGTATCAATTCATCATTATTCATTTTCTTCTTTATCCAAAAATGACATTTTCAAGACCCACCCTTAGGGTTCATATAATATCCCATTGTAACTTCAAATAAAACTCATAAACATGCTCCCATACTCCAATATGACATATATATGAAGCTCGAGTGAAGGGATTACCTCTTGGTGGAAGAATCTAACTTTTTCTCTTTTTGGTGTTCTTGAAGATTCAACCCATTTCCTATGGATTTGATCTATAATAATGTCAGTGTTATCACTAAATGATGTTATATAATCATCCTTGTACCAAAATAACTTACCTTGAAGTGTATCCATGGTGGAAGAGCTCCTCCTTCTCTCTAGAAATCAATTCCAAATTGAAGAACTAATGTTTTCTCTCTCTAAACCCCTTGTTTCAACCTCTTTAAAATGACCCTTGGAGCTGCAACTTTCATTCCCCTTCATTTTGGGAGTTGCTGGATTTGCCTACGCAATGGTGCGTAGGCTACGCTGTTATGGTGCGTAGGCTACGCGGACTCGCGCAGCTGTTCTGTCACTTGTAGAAATCTCCAAATGACAAACGGTTTGAAGCAATAGAAACTAGACATATAGACCTTTCATTTAATAGGTTATACACCATATAACTCTTCATATCTTGATAGGTATCCTCATTTGAAGTTAGGTCTTGTGCGAACTCACTTGAAACTTTATCCCATCATATAATTTTCAACTTGACTTAGCCTTAGGTCTCTTATTAGACCATAAACCATTCTTAATGCACCTCATACATATATTATCATGATCAATTGATATCATTCAAATTATTTGTCTTGTTCATACCCGAATTAATATAATTAGCACATGCCAATCTTCTTAATGGTCTTCAAACACTTCGAAATTTTTCGGGGTGTTACATTTATACTATATTGAAAACACGAAACTCCTTAGGAAAATATTGTTCGTCTTTTTTATCATTTAAAAGTAAATTTTATATTGGATAAAATCGTAACTAAATTATTTTTCAAATACATAGGACTTTGAAATCAACTTAAATTTTAGTTATTAAATCTTTCTTTATTTTAATTATGTAGAAAATCATAAATCGGACTTTAATCCGTAATTGAAGTACTAACGATTTACTTCCAACAGTTGTTACGATGGGAAATATAATGATCGAATATACTTCCCTTTTTTCTACTTTAGATAAATTGGAAAAAAGTGCTTGTATTTTACTTTTCACCTTTTCTTTTACTTTAAATGCGGACGAGGAAATGAATAATGAAGTCTTGTACTCTTTGTATTCCAATAGTATGCTTTCTAATGATATGTTCCTAATAATTGAATTTTAAGATCTATTCTACAAGCAGAAGATCTAAAGGTGAAATGTCACATTAATATTTTTACTCTTTAAAAATAATATTATATTAAATAAAGTTAGTTTATAGTTATATATTTAGAACTTGGAATGATCTAATAGCCTAATATTAAGAATTTGAATTAACAAAAAATATATTTTCTTTAATATTAAGATCAAATGATTAACTCTTTGAATTAGCAATTAGCAAAAGAATCTAGTTTAATATTTTGTTCTAAATTGATCATCAAGTAAAATTACTTTCAAGTAGACAAAGCTATGGTACATAAATTTGTTTTTAAAAAAACATTTGTGGTGAAAGAAATCAAAAAATATAGCAAAATCGATTATAGTATAATATTAAGAGTCAAAAGTAAAAATACAAACTTGAAGCAATAATGATGAAATAATAGAAAATAAAATATATTCTACATGAGTTGGCATTAATTTTTTTGTTGCATTAATTTCTATTAAATGATAGGTCTCTACAAAATTAATATTCTAAATTATTTGTTATAAAATATTAACTCAATACTAATTATTTTAGACTTCATGTCACATGTCAACATTTTTAGGAGCTATAGGGCGACCTCTTCATTCCCTTTGAAGTTACGTTATTTGACAAATATTTAAATTTGTGGTGAAAGTATTTTTGTGTTACTTATATATTTTGAAAATTAAATAATTAAAATAACAATTATTTTCATAAGATATCTGTATCTATATACACAATTATAAAGCAGGGCTTTTGACCACTGACATGGCATATGTCATTGAACAGGAATGACATTTATCTAATTTCTCAAAATTTTGAGCTTTTTCTTATTATTTTATGATTTTAGGACTCATTCATACCCGAAAAGCGGCAACATTCACAGTTGCTGAGCCGTTTCAAACCAGCACGTTTCAGAGCAAATTCCTCAAACCGTTTCAAACCAGCACGTTTCAGAGCAATTATTCCACCGCTTCAATTGCAAGCACTTAAAGCGAAAAAGAAACAGCAAAGCAGATTCAATTCCAATACATGTGTAATAGATACTGGACTGTTAAGATGGTCGTAGTAGTTGTTTCAAATTGGTGTCTGTGAAGATACTGAATTTTCAAATTGGTTTGGGAATGAAACGAGAGAGAAGAGAGAAGCAGATATTTTCTTATTACTGATTGACTGAAAAATGAATAATGTCTTTTTTGTACATTTAGATTTTAGAAGCATCTAATGGACTAATTATGTGCTATTGTCTCTACTACAAAGAATGGGCCTACAAAGAATGGGCCTCACATTAAGTGGGATGTTTACAAATAAATAAAGAAATTTTTACATTTCTATACGCTATATGAAACTATATTACCCTCCCTACTTAAGTTTTACTATAATTAAATTTTATATACCCATTACCATTTATGTACATTTTAAGGGAATTAATGATAATAATTAGTATCCTAAAATCACTCTAACGTATATTCCACTCCCACTCCCCCCCCCCCTCACGTTTCTCTCTCCACATCTCACCCCCCTCTCCCCCGTGTATATTGCACAAGAGAGCAGCAATTCCACCATTGACAACCATTAAAAAGCTTTGAAGCTTTGAATTCGAATTTGGGTTTTCAAAAAATATTATTTGTTTGAATTGGATGTTGTTGCAAAGAATTGGGAATTCTCTCTACGTCTCTCTCTATCTCTCAATCCCNCTTAATTGTACAGGATCTTAGGCAGGTACATCTGGTTACCAGGCTGGTGCATACTCTTGATCCGGCCCGAGATTCCACCGTGAGCTGCTCCCTTCCTACGCCGTTCAGCAGCCCGATGGAGTCTTTCTTTACTTTTGGCTGTCTATTCTATTTCAGACAGTAGGATAGATTTATTCTTTTGTATATTCTACTAGATGCCCACATACTTGTGGCACCAGGTCTTGGCACACACATTAGTAGACTATTTTTTTGATTGTTGGGATTGTATAACTATTATGGTACGATGTTAATTATTGCTTGTTTTAAATTCACACTTAGAGATTGTGGTAACTGTTTTGTAAAAAGTAAAACTAGAACTTATTAATATTTTCGCGTTGGCTTGCTTGACACGGTGTTGGGCGCCATCACGACCTGAGGTGATATTGGGTCGTGACATTTTATATATATATATATATATATATAACTATTGTATGAAAGTTGAACAATATTATATAAAAATTATATTTAAGTTGTATGATATTGTAGTTGTATATAACTGAGTCGAAATAATGCATGAAAATTGTAGATAAGTTGTAGATATTTTGTATATATATAATTAGTTGTATGAAATTTATTTTTACTATGTATAAATCAGATACAAAATATACAAAAGACATATTGTATAAATTTTATATAAAATTTGCATTTAAGGTCAGCTTGGTTATGAATTTATGATCGATCAAAGCCGTTATAAAAAAAAAAAATTAACTTTTACAAAAGTTGATAGGATTATTTACATGGAAGTAGTGTGGCTGGCACGTAAAAGGAGAAATATTCAAATTTGATTCATATTTTGCATATTGAAATTGCTTAGTCTAGCTCATTCTTTCTCTTGTACCTGTTGTTTCGACGCAGAACAGTAACTATACAAGTTCGGGACACACCATTAAGTAAGAATTCCTTACTGCTTTCTTGGTTAGTTTTATGTTACACTTCATATTTATAAGTTTAATTCAACACTCTATCTCACAATTAAGATACTTTTCTTTTTTCCTTGGTAAATCTATTGAAGTAATTTTACACTTTGCATTTTAACTATTTAGATTAAATTGAAACTATAACTTTTGCAGACCCGTCAAGTGCCCCATTAAACAAAGTTTTTTAAAAAAAAAAATTGGGGGTGGGGGGGGGGGTGGGCAGGAAGGAATGAGAAAATATAATTTTCAAAATTATATTAGTGTAAACCCAAAATATTTAGCAAATAAAAAAACTCTGAAATCAGAACCCTAGCTCTTTTCACCATTGGCTTCGAGCAGCCGAGCATGGACAGTAGAAGTGGGTGTTTGGGGTTTTAATCTCTTGTTTTATAATTGCGTGTGTGGGGTACTAAATCCCTTAATTGAAGGCACTAATAATGAATTGGGAGCCTTTTAAGGTGGAATGTATATATTTTGTAAAACAAAACTTGTGTATGTAGGATAATTTACTAAACATGAACATTTAGGGTAATAAAGTTTCCAATAGTGTATAGGAATGAAAAAATCCCATAAATAAAACAACTGGGCATGTCAAGTAGGGTGTGCCTCAGCATCCAGCTTGTGCTCAACTCCAACACCCCCTTCAAGGTGGAGGGTGACTGAACCCCCAGCTTGAGTAGTAATGAATGATGAGCAAGTCCTGTCATGGGCTTGGTAAAAACATCTGTCAGCTGAGAAAGAGTAGGAACATGACTCAAGGCAATCAATCCATCATGAAGCTTTGCTCGAATAAAATGGCAATCGACCTCTATATGCTTTGTCCGCTCATGAAATACCGGATTCTTGGCAATGTGAATGGCTGCTTGATTATCACACAAGACAGGAGTAGCACCAGGAACAGAAATACCAAAGTCAGACGGTAACCGGACCAGCTAAGTGAATTCTTCCACAACCTTACTAATTGCTCTATACTCAGCCTCAGCAGAAGAAAGAGAGACAACAGGCTGCTTTTTAGCATTCCATCTAATAAGAGATCCCCCCAAAAGAATGCAGAACCCAGTAACTGATCTCCTTGTGTCTGGGCAAGCAGCCCAGTCACTATCACAATAGGCAGAGGGTGAAAGATCAGGGAAGTTACTGATGAAAACTCCAACTTTAGAAGACCCTTGCAGATACCTGAGAACATGCAAGGCTGCATGCATGTGAGAGGAGGAGGCTTTTGAAGGTATTGACTTAAGTGTTGTACAGCAAAAGCAAGGTCTGGTCTGGTGTGAGAGAGGAAGTTAAGTTTGCCCACCAGACTCCTATATGACTCAGGAGAAGAAAGAGGATGCCCCATGTCTGCTTTGAGCTTAACAGTTAGGTCAAGGGGACAAGTAACATGAGTAACATTCTCACAATGGTATTCCTTGAGAAGATCCTTAATAAACTTTCTCTGATGTAACAGCAGTCCACCAGAGGTGTATGCAGCTTCAATCCCAAGGAAATAATTGAGAACACCCAAGTCTTTGATTTTAAACTCAGCATCCAAAAAACTCTTTAAAGCAGTAATTTCAGACAAGTCATTACCAGTGAGAATAATATCATCAACACATACAGCCAACAAAACAGTGGAAGAACCAGATATTTTGTAAAAAAGAGAATAATCATTAAGAGAAGAAGAGTATCCCCTAGAACATAAAGCTTGAGATAGCCTAGCATACCACTGCCTTGAAGCTTGTCGCAAACCATATAGGATTTTTGAAAATGACAAACCAAAGGAGGAGAAGATGTACCAGAACCAGTTAAAGGGGTGGCTGACAGCCCAGGTGGCAGCCGCATATAGACCTCCTCATCCAGGTCACCATGCAAAAAGGCATTGTCGACATCAAGTTGAAATAGAGGCCAGATTTGCTTGACAGCCACAACAACAAGGCATTTAATAGTGGAAAATTTAACAACAGGTGAGAATGTTTCATTAAAATCCACACCCTCAACCTGAGTATCACCCCTAACAACCAATCTAGCCTTATACCTTTCCACAGTCCCATCAGCCCTATACTTGACTTTATAAACCCATTTGCAACCTATGGGTTTCTTACCAGGTGGCAGCTGAACAATGGACCTTATGATTGGCCTCTAAGGCCTCAAATTCTTTCCTCATGGCCTCCTGCCATGCAGGAATAGATGTTGCCTGCTGATATGAGGTAGGCTCAACCTCAGCATTGTTAACTAAACTATGAAGGCAAGTAAAAGAAGAATTGGGGCCAGACAAGGATGGAGGAAGGTTACATACATATTGTTTCAGATGAGCAGGAGAAATATGAGTTCTACTTGATCTCCTAGGAACAGGTGGAGTGTGTGAGGAGGTAGATGGTTGAGAAGAGAAGGATACAAATGTTGGAGAAGGAGGAGATGGTGAGAGAGAAGTAAAAGGAGAAGGTACGGAAGATTGAAGAGGATAAGGAGGATCACAAAGGGAATTGTTGACTGGTAAACTCCAACTAGGAGCAGGATTTAGATGAGGAGGAGCACTAGGCTGTTTGAAAGAAGGAGCAAAGGGAAAAATAGATTCATGGAAAACTACATCCCTGGACATCAAAGTAAGCTTAGTTTTCAAATTGTAGAGTTTATATCCCTTCTTGGCTAATGGATATCCCAAGAATACACAAGGGTCACCTCTAGCCTGAAACTTGTCCCTATGGCACTTAAGAACTATGGTAAAACATAGACATCCAAATGCTTTGATTTGATTATAAGAAGGAGGGTGCCCAAACAGTAGTTCAAAAGGTGTTTTGTTATTAAGAAGCTTAGAAGGGAACCTGTTGATAAGGTATGTAGCAGTAAGCACACAATCTCCCCAGCATCTAACAGGTAAATGAGAATGGAAAAGCAGGGCTCTTGAGGTTTCTAAAAGATACCTATGTTTTTTTCAACCACACCATTTTGTTGTGGTGTGTGAGGACAAGAAATTTGATGAATTATTCCATTTGCAACAAAGAAATCATTTCCACAATTACTGGATCCAAGCTCAAAGGCATTATCACTTCTAACAATTTGTACAATGGATTTGAACTGTGTTTTGACCATGGCAATGAAGGCCTTGATAAGAGAGAAAGCATTGCTCTTGGACCCCATAAGGTGAGTCCAAGTATCTCTAGTAAAGTCATCAACTATGGTTAGAAAATACTTACACCCATTATAGGTAGGGCTTCCATAAGGGCCCCAGGTATCCACATGTATGAGTTGAAAAGCATGTGTAGTTTTGATTGAACTATCAGAAAAAGGTAGCCTGGGCTGCCTTGCTAATGGGTAGACAGTACAGGTAAAAGGCTATTTAGAAGAGAATTTACAAGGTATAGAAGGAATTTCCCTCATTCTAACAAAAGGTATATGTCCCAGTCTATTATGCCACAACATCTCCATTTTATTCAATTCAGAATGGTATGTACAATGAGAAGAAGAAACAGAATCAGCAACTAATGGAGAATGGTATTTACAGGGGACACTTTCAGAAAGTAAATGATCACTCATAGAACTAGATTGACATGCAGTTGCATGAGATTGAAGAGAAGGGGAAGACAGCACAAGCCTGTAGAGTCCATCATCCAATTTACCAATTTCCAGTGGCCTCTTTAGTGAATGGGCCTGTATTAAGCAGGAAAACTTAGTAAATAGGACAATTGAGTCCAACTGGCAAACAAGTTTGGATACAGAGATAAGGTTGTAATGGAAGCTAGGAATATAAAGGACATGGTGCAATGTGAAACAAAGAAATTGAATGGATCCAGTACATGTCTCCTTAACCTTATAACCATTTGGTAAGGTAACTAAGTATGGTATGATTAAGGGTTTAATATCAAAAAGAAGATCTTTATTTGAAGTCATGTGGTCAGTTGCCCCAGAGTCTATAATCCAAATACATTCATTTACTTTAGTTAACATGCAAGCACCATAAGATATGTTTTTCATACAACTGGATGAAGAGAAGGTACCAGCAAAGTTGGCAGATGCCATGAGACTAGACTGGGGTTGTGATTCTGAGATTTGTGTCTGTTGAAGCAGCATCATGAGTTAGGCTTATTGATCCTTGGTTAACCCAGGAATCATAGACTCTGAATCAGAAGACCCATCAGCTGGAGAGTGAGAGACTTCAGCAAGATTCTGATGGCCAGCAGTATTTTGAGGGCCCTGCACCTCAACATTTGCAGCAGTCCTTTTACCCTTGGTAAACTTGAAGCCTGGTGGGAAGCCAAGTAGTTTGTAGCATTTGTCAACCAAATGTCGAGGCTTCTTACAATACCTACACACCAGATTTGACTTGTTGTACTCAAAATTGACTCTTTAAATGAACTGTTTGGGAGGAGCAGGTGTCCCTGAGAATTTGTTAGTGAGATGGGCATCGAAAGAAGCAGAATCAGTACGGAATTGGAATGGTGAGGACACTTGTCTTTGTCTTTCATCCTGAAGCAATATGTTGTAGGCAGTGTCTAGAGATGGAGGAGGTTGCATCATAAGCAGATTACTCCTAACTCCAACATAAGTCTCATTAAGCCCCATGAGAAACTGATGCAACTTGTTTTCATCGTCCTCTATTTGAAGCTCAACCTAAGCAGCACATGTGCAAGAGCTACCACGAGAGGCACGCATGAAACCCAGCTCATCCCACAATTTTCTTGAGTTTGTAGAAGTAAGATGCTATATCTAGAGATCCTTGATTGGTGGAGGCTAACTCTTGCTTTATTTCAAAAACCTTGGTTCCATTTACAGTACCATACCTCTTATTAAGTTGATTCCAAATGCTCTGGACAGTGTCAGAATACTGAACACTTTCAGCTATGTCTGGTGTGAGGGAGTTGGTCAACCAAGATATGACCATATTGTTACACCTATCCCATTGCCTAAATTGAGGGAAATTTTCAGGAGGTTTAACAACTGTTCCGTCAATAAAACCTATCTTATTTCTAGCATAAAGAGAAACAATCATATTCCGTCTCCAATCCCCAAATCCAGTTCCAAAAAAAGGTGTACTAACAAGAGAAACCCCGGAACATCAGAAGACAAAAGAAAAAGTGGACTTGAAGGATCAGGGATGAAGCTAATAGAGGAATTAGTAGATGTAGATTCGTCAATGACGTTCACCATTTTTGAGTTCAACTAATCAGTCAGAAATTATATGGAATTCAACCACTGCAGATGCAATCGTATATCTCCACCACAATTAAGAACTAATAGATTCTAACAGCAAAAAAATGAGCTAGATAAGAGAATACCCTTCGTAACGGCCTTGAACTTGAAAGGAAACAAACCCTAACAGTTGAAAAAGGAAAAATCGGAGGAATCAACTGATTTTCGCATCGATTCAATGAATCTCCGGTATGACAAAGCTCTCAAAGCAGCAATTGTAGAAGAAAATTCAACAAAACCAGAAAACCCCAAACTTATCAGCGAACAAGAAATCTTGAACGAAAATAGACGAGGGTAACATCGCAAGGAAGCTGGTGAGGAGTAGGAACGGAATCTTCGCTATGATACCATGTGAAGATACTGAATTTCATGAATCTACCATAGGTTTATGCTAGGGTTTGGGAATGAAACGAGAGAGAAGAGAGAAGCAGATATTTTCTTATTAATGATTGACTGAAAAATGAATAATGTTTTTTTGTACATCTAGAAGCATCTAATGAACTAATTATGTACTATTGTCTCTACTACAAAGAATGAGCCTATAAAGAATGGGCCTCACATTAAGTCAGCTGTTTACAAATAAATAAAATAATTGGGCCTGTCAAGTAGGGTGTGCCTCAGCATCCCTTGTGCTCAACTCCAACAGTGTCTGTCTCCACTTCAAGGTCCAAATAATAGGGAAGAAAAAAAGTTTAAAAGAAAAGTGAGCAACTGCATTTTGATGGATGTATTATAGGAACAATATTTTCTTGCATCAATGAAAGTGGCATTCATTTTTTTCCCTTTCTCCGTAAAAATAGAATTTCTTCTGCTATATCTCTGTTTTTCATTCGTCTTTGATTAATTGCTTTCATAATTAGGAAGTCAAGATAACTGCAGAAAATAAACAATGGAGTTCTTATTTTATTTGATCCCTTTTTCTATTGGATGTCGGGGTAGGATGGTTTAAGTTTATGAGGAATAAATAAGAATTATTACGCAAGTCAAGTTTTTAAAGATTTGATCCTTTTTATATTTTGATCATTTATGGGCAACGCAATGGGTTGCAAATGTTTTTTTTAACTTCTAATGGCAATGGTTCATAGAGTATAGAATGATTTAGTTTGTGTTTTACTGGGAAGATAAAATATGAGTCAATTGGTTTTCATGATCTGGAAACAATTACTTCAATGGCCAGTATAACGGTTTTTGAACTTCCAACATTAAGTTATTTGGACGAGAACATCATATATTAATTGATTTCTATAATTAAGTTTGTTTGAGAGATTCCATGTTGCTTACAACTGATAACTAATTTTGGCATGATTTGCTTTAGAATTCTGATAGAGTTAATTGTTTTAATCAAGAGCCTTTAGTGTTCTTCAAGGTGTTGGGACTGTTAATTTTTCCTCTATTATGTGGGGACGTTACGAGCAAGGAGTGTACTGATGTTTCTACTCAGTTGTCATCACACTCTTTAGATGTGAGTTAGTGTCCCCATACAATAAAATTTGAAAAAAGAAGAAGATGTCCATCCATTACCATTTGGCACCTGCTATTGGTTTGGCCTGGTCTAACATGCAGGGAAGATATTGATTGAGTCGTTGATTATCTCTGGTTCTGAGACGCAGAATATCCCTTTTGGAGCGGAGAAGTTTATTTTTGAAGAGCGGAGAAGTTTGGCCTTTACAGTCCATTAATAATGTTATTTTGTTATTCAAATTGTAAATGTCCCTATGAGTTTCCTCTTTGTAATATAGTGGGTTTACATAATCGAAAGAACATATATATTTTTTGTTCTGTAACTAGCATTTGGAGGTAAGAGATTTTTTTGAGTTTTGTGCAATATTTATAATGCAAGTAAAAGAATTATTCAGTTGTATTTTTTTAAAATAAGATAACAAATCGTCGATGTAGCATCGTATTCTTCGTCGAAATTGAGCATGCGGTTTCTAAAAAGTTATTTCCTTAAACAGAAAAATTATGTGTCTATTTTCGCTTTTCCTGTTTCCATTATCTAAGTGAAAAGTTGCCTCAATAAAAATTTTGCACACAACTAGAAACTCACCAATATGGGACTTTTTAATAATTTTTTTTCCTTTTCATTTAACATGTTTGCTTTATTTTTTAAATATGAAGAATAGTAATAGGGAATAAATGTCTTGGCGTATTTCTTAAGCATGCATTGTCTCTCTTTTGGTCGATGTTGAATTATTGAGTTGGGTCCTCTTTCCCATTTGGTATCCACCTTGAGAATATAATTAGAGGAATTGATATGGTTGCTGTTGGAGCATACAGAATATAAAATTGATCGAAGAGTAAAGATTGATTATTTAAATAAAATTTAGCAATAATTACTTAGCCATATTTTGATTTTATTTAATAGTCGCGCGTAGCGCGAGCAAATTCACTAGTTCTCACATAGTTCTATCCGTCACAATAAATTAATTGAGGACTTATATCGGACAATATTTTATCTTTCATTGAGCTAGCTTACGTGGGATCAAGATTCGTCATTTCAGGAACTTGCATTTTTCTTTTGACTTTTATTTTATATTCAAACATATTATTTAGTAGTATTTATATTATTTTTTAAGGTTGTATTTTCATCGAGGTGGATAAGAATAGTTTTTACATTAATTTATTACTACTAAAATTCAAACAACCTGTAAATCTTCACCGCTTGGAACCGGTCTTTACGGGTCAAGAAGGATGATTGCATCAAGTCATCAACTATAGTGCAGAATATATCCTCTTCTATAATACTAATACCCTAATATTCCCATTCAGACTCCACAAAAACGCTACCTAAAGCTTCTCTCTCTCTCTCTTGCGGCTCTTCACTCTTGAAGGTATCAATCAATTTCTAAATCTTTAATTTTCAGCAATAGTTGTATCTTAATTCTTGTTTTGCCGGTACTATCTACTTAGGGTTTTGTCGCTAATTAGGGCAATTCACGATTTTGGTATTAGGACAGTGTAAAATTGATCTACCACGTTTGATTCTTTAATTCCAGAACTTTTTTTTTTTTTTTTTTTTTTAAACATGTTTTGGCATGTGTAGTCTGTTAAATTTGTGGGACTAAAAGATAGATGCATTTACTAAATATCATGTGACAAAGTGAAAGAAAGGCATCCATATTCCACCGTTCCATATCGATTGTTGGTGTCAGTTTTGACCCAATAATGTGTAAAGCTGTCCCAATCTTGGATGGTTTGGGTGCATGATGTTAATTAGAAGACTAATGTTGGTTTCACCTACCACCCAAAAGATTGGTTTCAACTCAGGCTACATTACTTGCATTTTCTTTTGTTAATGATGGTGGTGTCCAGGCAAAGCTTGTGCACCTCGACTATTCCACTGGAACCTGCTATCTTCCATTGTGCTATCGAGTACTTAGGCAGATGAAAAGAAATCACATACAATCAGACCTCTCTATAACAACATCCCTATATAACAACACTTCACTAGAAAAGCCAAGCTTTTCCGGAACCACCTTCCATGTTATGCTATAATATATGTTCTCTATAACAACACTTCGCTATAACATCCAAAAATATTCGGAACAAACGAGACTGTTATAGAGAGGTTTGACTGTAGTAGTATTTTCTTGCCTCTGTTGGGATTTGAATCTTAAGACTTTTTTCCCCACACCCTTGGCTACATGCTACATTAATTGCCTTACCCATCCCATAAGGGAGTTTTTTACAAAGATGGAAAAGCAGTAAGACAAAAAGATGATTTTGAACTTGGGGATATGATTTTACTTTCTTATTGGTAACTCACCTTTTTTGCAACTCAATTATCTAGTTAAGTTACCCCCC